GGGCCCTTAGAGTCAACAGATATGGATGCGAACGAGGACCCACTTGCCAAGTGCACGGCGTCAGAGTCGTCGACCCAGCAGCTCGAGATACGACCGTCAATAATGACTCGAAACTTCCCTGACTTCTTGTAAATGGCGAAGATCTCAACCGTCGCTTTGCATTCTAACCCCCATACCACCAGGCCGGCCTCTCGGAGCCGCTTTAGGACCGAGGCATACAAACGGGGAGAACGTCGGAGAGCAGGGTCAGCACACGGCCTAGAGAGGCCATCGCGGGCCTCTTTTCGCGCGCAAGGCGCTCAGGAAAAATCTTGCTATCTAGCTTTTCGACCAAGGTTTCACCCATCGGGGCCAAGCAAGTCACCTAGAGGCTTAGGGAAGCTACCAGGGGACGGGAGGTCCAGGAGGCAGACATTGTCTGGGCCGAGCGGCGCCAGGGTGGCCGGCTCACCACCGTATGAGCGCCGGGCGCAGAGCTCACTAAGTGCTCCCGCGCCAGAGAGCCCTGGGGGGGGGGGTCCTAAGCGATCCACAGCACGGCGGATGAGACGACAAGCCTCGAGCTGAGCCGCACTGGGAGAGCATGATCCCCCCTTAGGGGGCCCTCCTGTGAAAAATTGATTCAAACTCGAGGCAACCGACTCCGCAAAGCGAGCTGAGTGGGCCTGACGGAGGTGGCGGCGCCGAGTCGGCCGAGAAAAAACTGGCGAGGCGGGACCCGGCTCACGCAAGCAGGAGAGAGGAAGAGGAAGGAGGTCGCGCTGCCGATCAGCACAGGCATCGCTCAGCATGGCGCCCTCAGGGGATGGCCGCATCTCGCCGCGGTGGGCGGCCTCTCGATCTGGCACCAGGCTAGAGGCTTCACCTGGGCCGTGCTGCACCGTCATTGCTTCTTGAGGAGCGCTGCGCGCTCCTTCTTGGCTTTCCGAACTTGCTTCAAAATCGCGGCATCCTTTTCGACCTCGCGAGCCACGTGATCCAGCAGAACCGGGCAAACCATGGCCGAACCCGTGTCCTTGTTGAGGCCAGAGAAGATGGCTGCCTCGTCCATGAGGCCGACGAAAGTCACCGTCGAGGCGTTGGGCTTCTTGTCCTTCCCCGCCTTCTCGGGGGCCCCCATGGAGTCCATCCAGTAGACGTGCTCTGAGAGTTGAGCCTTGCGCAGGAGCGACTCGATGCCCGCCAGATCGCAGATGTTCACCCCGTCGTAGACGGCCGCCTCCTCCAGCACGCGAAGCGCGGTGCCGTGGATCTCGACCCCCCACGAGTCCGGCTTCAGCCCGAACACGCTCACGAACTGCCGATGGTGCGCCACGGGCGTAGACGACCGCCTCTCGAGCCACTCCGCACACGACTTCACCGTGCGGGGCCCTGGTGCCGTCCACGAGGGGTAGGCGGTCTCCTCGAGCTCCTTGCACACGTCGCTCCAGCCGCGACGAGGCCGGGCCAAGACGTAGGCCGAGCCGCTCAAGATGCGAGGGTCCCGCACCGCCTCCAGGGCTGCGAACTCGGCCGCGTCCATGGACTGGATGTTCCTGACCACGACACTGAGTCCGCCGGGCGCCTGCATGATGGCGAGGTCGCCGTGCGCGACAGCGTTCGCCGGGAGCACGACAGGATCACCACGTTTGGCGAAGGTCGTGCTCTCCACCGCAACCCACTGGGCGGCAGCCACGCCGGCGACACCCGCCGCGGGTGCCAGAGGCGCCGCGCCGGCGGCAGCCACGATCTGGGCGCCGGGCGCGGCACCAGCCGCCGCGGGCGCGCCAGCGGGGCCGCCTCCCGCGGCGAAAGGCACCAGACACCCGGCAGCAGGGGCCGCGAAGACCCGCCCGGCCGCGGCCGCCTCAGCTGCGAGCACTGCCGCCGCGTAGGCCTCGCCCGCCGTCTCAAAGGCGGTCTCCTCCGCAGCGGTCGGGGCCCGCCTGAAGCGGTAGCTGTCTGCGGCCGCGACGCCAGGAGGCAGACCTCGGTCTGCGCAAAATCGGACCGCGGCAATGTCAGCGGACTGGCCCGAGTAGTCCTCATCGTACACGTCGCCGTCTGGAGTGCATATCACGAGCCTCGGAGGTTCAATCGGATTCAGTGCCCGTGACCGCAAGTGACCCAACACCAGACGCTGATGCCAGAGCCGGTCGCCGGCGTAGAGTACCCATGCCCATCGATCCGGCTGTAGCGCCGCCATCGGGTTCAGGGGCCTTGTGGCGCGGCGTCGCGATCTGGACGAGGCTGCGGGCGGCGCAACTGCTCAGGCTGCCGAGCACGGAGCTGCACACGACGGCCAGGGCCACCCGCCACAAGCTGATCGGCACCAGGGCGCTCTCAGCAGCTCAGGGGGCCTCGCTCACAGGACGCTCGGCCTGCACAGGAGCCGGGGCACCCGGACAGGCCGGGCGCGCCGCGCACGTCGGGCGCGCGTGAGTCGCCGGGCAGCTCGGACAAGCCGGGCACGGCGGCGCCGATGGGCAGCGGGAAAGGTAGGATACAGTGATCTGAGAAGCGTATCCGAGATAGGGGGAGAGCGCTGCGAGCATGGGCGTGGGCCTGTTCAAGCTTGAGCACAAACATTTAAGGAGACGGCCCTCCCGACATCTCGAGGCAGACAAACCACATGTAAACAAAAGACTATATATACATGTGTGCATGTATCCGCCGGCCCCCTTGTGGGACCACCAGGCTGTAGGCCGGAGGTTCGCATCTTCCTGTACCAGTTGCAGCTTCCAGTTTCCAATGTTGCGGTTCTGCTTCTTGCTGCTGTTCCTTGTTACAGTCATGCTTTTCGCTGCTTACTGTTCTTTGTTGATGGACCGCGCGAGGGGGGAGGCCCAAAACTGGCATTTTCAACACGCCCAAATCGTATGTCTGAATTGCTGGGGGGGATAAAAATTGACACCCCTCACGCAGATCGGCGGGGTCAGGGCCAAAAACACAAGGGATTTGCCACATTTGTTTGAAATTCGGTGGCACCCCTCACGCAAATCTGCTGGATCAGGGTCAAAAAACACAATGGATTTGACAAATTTGTTTAAAATTCGGTGGCACCCCTCGCGCACATCGGCTGGGTCAGGGTCCAAAAACACACGGGATTTGCCACATTTGTGTAAAATGCGGTGGCACCCCTCACGCAGATGGGCGGGGTCAGGGTCCAAAAACACAGAAAGGATTTGACACATTTGTGAAATCCGGTGGCATCCCCTACGCAGATCGTTGGGGTCACGGTCCAAAACCACAAAAAAAGTTGATACATTTTTTTGAAATTCGGTGGCACCCCTCACGCAGATCGGCGGGGTCAAGGTCCAAAAACACAAGGGATGTGCCACATTTCTAAAATCCGGTGGCACCCCTCACCCAGATCAGCATGGACATGGCCCCAAAAAAGCAAGGGATTTGCCACGTGTCCAACATCTGGTGCCCCCCCTCACGCAGATCGGCGGGGCCAGGGTCCAAAAACACACGGGATTTCCTACATGTCTGAAATCCGGCAGCCCCCCCCATGCAGATTGGCGGGGTTATGGCCCAAAAACATAAGAGATTCGAACATTTCTGAGATTCGGTCAGGGTTCAAAAACACAAGGGATTTGCCACATTTCTAAAAATTCGGTGGCGCCCCTCGCGCAGATCCGTAGGGTCAGGCCCCAAAAACAAGCAAACCCCGACACTGATTCACGGCGAAGCCAAAGCCTCATGACTTCGCTCTTCCATTGCCCATTTTTCGAAAGAGGGGGCCGCGGCAGGGGGCGAAGCCCTACGGATATATTACTCACAGCGCTGTTGTTTCACTGATCTCTGGCAGAGACTGGCCAACGTCTTGCAGTCTCTGCCAGCGATGATACAGATCAGCAAAATCACGAGCCAAAAACAACACAGCATTTTTCCTAATCATTTTCCCTCTCCTCCTCGTCCTCCCTCCTCGCCTTCCTGCCCCCTCCCCCTCCCTCCTCCGCTTCAGCAGGCAAGCGCGACGCTTTCAACGCCTCAGACCTCTGTGCTGCAAATTATCACGTTGCTCGCGCGACTGCCGTTTTCTCCATGCGCTTGCTTTCCGCTACACTGCCCACTCCAAGCAACAACCATGGCGAAGACGAACGTCGTTTTGCGCAAGCCGCAACGTCATTACAAGCTGAAGCTGACATGCGTGGCCGCGTACATCTCGCTCGGGCACTCGCGGCGCAATGGCCCGACGTTTCGCAGCGCAGAAAACACTCCAGAGCTACGCCACCTGGGTCACGCTCGGAAAGCAAAGGCGGGCCGCGCATCGGCGTGCGCGCCAGCGCAGCAGATTCCACTGCGCTCGGTTCAATCAAAATTCTATCCCTCGCTCACTAGCGGAAAGGTGGGCGCCGCCTGAAGCGGCGGCTGACAGGCGCACCGGGGGGGGAAGTCAAGGCGCGCACCGCGGGCTGCCCTCCCACGATCGAGGGCGCTCTCCCTCGTCACCTGGGCGGCCCCTTCGTGCTCCTCGTCGTCCAGGGCGGGCGCGCTGGGGCAGCGCAAGCGCTTGACGCCGCGCTTCGCTGCTGTCGGCGGCGGCGAGGAGACGTCGATCTCCTGGGCAGCAGCGCGATCCCAGGGGCTCTGCTGGCGAGCGCGGCCGGCAGCCACGTGCTCGTCGATCTCGCGCTCATTTTCGAGCGCTGGGCACGCGGCGCCAGTCGGCTGACCGGCGCGCACGCGCGAGTGCCCGTCGCTTCCCTGCCCGTCGCCCAGCGGCTGTGCGGCAACGTCTGTGAAGCTTCGTCTCGCGGGCGCGCCCTCGACGAACAGCGTCGGGCCGCGGACCGTCAATGCACGACCCAAATCTTCGCCCCGAGCTACGTTCTTCATCGCGGCAACAGCCCACCTCACGTGCTGGTCGTCATCTAATAGAATGCAAGTCTGGTCTTTCTTGAAGGCTCTGATGATGGCGGTCGTCTCGGGCGCGGAAAGATCTGGCTTCGCGGGCGCTGGAAACGGGATCGCGGGACTGGGTCTCTCGACGCGGAGGCCAGCCGCAAGTAGACTCAGTTCTGCGCAAGAAGCTCGACGTTAGACCTCGCCATGCACAGCTCCACGTCCGCCATTTCGCAGCCGCTCTGCATTGCGCCGGCGAAATTGCAGTCGGTGGTCTTGAAGAGGTCAACGAACGAAACCTCTTCATTATCCCTGCTGACGGAACGGACCTTCGCCTCGAACTCGTTGTTGCGCGGGTTGACGCATACCTGACGGAATTGGTTCTGCTCGAAGGAGGCGCCGCACCACCTGCGCGGCGCGCGGACGCCATCCGCACCGGCTCGCCTCTGGAAAACTTTTGGGGACCATGTTAAATGCTTTTAAACAAAGTCGCTTCCGAGAGAGGCATTTTCCCGCGCGCTGCCACTTCGCCCAAGGCAGCGCGTTTTCCTCGCCGGGGTCGAGGAACGCCTTGATCTCGTCGGGGTCCCACTTGGTGAGCACGTTGTCGTCTGCGATGGAAGGCTCCAGTCGCAGGAAGTCAATATTCTTCGCCGCGACGGCGCTCGGGCGAATGTCAGCGCGACGGCGCTTCTCAATCGGGTAGGCCGAAACAACGAAGCCGATCGTCTTGGATGCCGTGGATTTGCCGACCGTGGTCTTGCCGATCCACATGGTCCCCGCCGGCGCGTGGCTATTGAGAATGGGGGCGGCGATGCGGTCGAACAAGAAAGGCTCGTACCGCGTGAGCGTCCGAAACAGCAACGTGAGCAGGGAAGCGTTGGTAGGCTGCTGGCCCAGTGGCCGCGCGCAGCTTCTCGGCCTCCTTGTGCTTGTGCTTCGCCGCCTCGGCCTTGCGCAAGGCCTTGCTCCGGGAGGCGAAGCCCTTGTTCTTGGTCGCCCAGTACCGCGCCAGTGGGTGGGTGTGCGGGATGCGTCAACATTGATATGCTGTTTGCGCCTTCTGCCTGGGCGCGGGGGTCTGGCTGTTCCGCCCTGTGCGGCGTGGGTCTGTGACTTCCCATTCTCGCCTCTGGGCGCCAAAGACTTATGACTTCAACGCCGCCTCGAAGACGGAGTGGACGGCGTGGAAGAGGAGGAGGAGAGGGAGGAGGAGGGGGAGGGGGAGGGGGAGGGGGAGGAGCAGGAGGAGGAGGAGGAGGAGGAGGAGGAGGAGCTGTTTGCGCTTGGCGCCCGAGCGCGCAAGCCTGCGGCGCTTACTGCGAGCTGCGTTTGATGCTCACGGCGGCTGTTTTGCTCTCGAGAGCGCCGTGCTTCTTAGGGGGGCCCGCTCCTGCCCCTCGGGCATGGCTTCGCTGCCTGGACCTGCACGCCGCCAGGGGGCAGAAGCGGAAGGAAGAGGATGGAGGTAAGAGGAACATGAGACGCTGCCGCGGCGTGGAAGCGTCCTCCTCCTCTTCCTCCTCCGCCTTTCTCCTCCTTCTTCTCCGTTTCCGCGCTCCTCCTAAAAATGAATGGGGACCAGTAGGAGCGAAGGAGGAGGAGGAGGAGGAGGAGGAGGTGGAGGATAAGGAAACACGAAGAAGAGGATGAGCAGGAGAAGTAAGAGCAAGAAGGAACGGAGAAGGAGGAGGAGGGGAGAGAGGGAGGAGGGGGGGGAAAGAAAAAGAGGAGAAGCAATGACAGGAAGAAGAGGGGGACCACTTGCCGATAAGAGTGCATTGCGATCGGTTGACTTGCAATCGATTGGAGTGCAATCGGCTGGATTGTGATCGTTTGAATTGCAGTCGGCTGAGACGACTGGCTGAATAGCAAGAGGAAGAAGAGCAGAAAGAAGAAGAAACACAAGAGGATGCATCCCCCCTCACCACAATCCGTGGTTTGGGGGTGCTGGGGGGCGAGAATATACAGATACATACACATACATAAACATTTACACCTACCTACCTACCTACCTACATACATACCTACATACCTACATACCTACATATCTACATACAAACTTACAAACATGCATACATACATACATACATACATACATACATACATGCATACATACATACGTACATACATACATACGTACACACATACCTACCTACCTACCTACCTACCTACCTACCTACCTACCTACCTACCTACCTACCTACCTACATACATACATACATACATACATACATACATACATACATACGTATCTATATACCTACCTACATACATACATGTTCTACATATGTATGTACACTCATGCTGGCTGATTCGCATGGGAGCACGAGCCTGTGCTGCGAGACAAGAACAAAACAACAATGATACATGGAGTTGCAGACCTCCGCAAGGCCTACGCTCGCGCAGCTGCTCCGACATCGGCGGACAGCCGCAGCGGCGAACGGCGACGTCCTGCTGGCAAAACCTCAGCATCGCCTCTCCCCGAGTGCCGTCGAGGAAGCCCCGCAGGCAGTCGGCGAGGACCGTGGTGGCCGCGCGGCGGGCGTCCGCGACCTGCGACGGGGGGGGGGGGGGCGGGCGGCCCGCGGCGCCCGCGAGGGGCGGCACAAGAGGTCCGACAGCGGGCAGGCCTGCGCCGGCTCTCGTGAGGGAAATCCGAGAGGCATCGCGCGACAACTTGAGACCCGAGTTACGTCTACGCAAGACGAAGCACGAAGAGGACAAATTCGAGAGCGGGCGCTGACATCCGGCGGTTCTAGAGGACGTCTCGGGCTCCGCGGCCTTCAGAGCGTTCCGGAACGCTCTGAGAGCGTTCTGGCAAGCTCTGGAACGCATTTGTCCTCGTCCTAGCCCCGTCCGGCTACGTCGGAATCATGTCGGATACACGTCGGATTCGCGCTGGATCTGCGTCGGACTTGTGCCCGAGCATCGCCGAGCGGGCGTCCCATCGTTCAACTGTAGCGCCGCCGCGCGAGGCCTCCAGGATTCTCCTCATAGCCGATCTGATCGCGAAGTCGGGTAGGATCGGAGACGGCAGATCGCCAACGAGTCGTCCTGGAGGAGGAAGGGGGAGGAGGGGGAGGGGGATGAGGAAGAGGAGGGGGAGGAGGGGGGGGGAGGGGGAGGACGGGGAGGAGGAGGAGGAGGAGGAGGAGGAGGAGGAGGAGGAGGAGAGGAGGAGGGATATGGGAGGAGGAGGAGGAGGAGGCGGAGGAGGAGGAGGGGGAGGAGGAGGAGGAGGAGTGCACTTCGGACCGCCGCGCCTGGCCGATGCCGGTGGCTCGAGCTGGGCCAGGTGGCATCGGAATCGTGGCCCCAGAGTCGCAGCGCACCAAATCGAATCGTGGGCGGCCTTGGCGGGGGGTCGAACAGGGGGGAGCCCTTGTCCTCCTCCTCCTCCTCCTCCTCCTCCTCCTCCTCCTCCTCCCTCAAGCCACCTAGGCTCAAGCAGTTTGTTTGAGCTGACTCTCGTACCTGCTCGAGGTGCTTGGGGCACTCCGGGTCCGCTCCTCCAGGGATTGCGTACTCGGTCGACTAAAGCGAGAGTTTCCGCCATGGCTCCCGTTCCCTCTCGCGTGTGGAGCCGCTGCGCCAACTGCCAGAGGTGTGAGTGGAATGACAACCTTCTGAAGTGCAGTTTGGCATGCCCGCATTGTGGCAAACAGGTGAAGTTGTTCAAAGCTAAGCCGCCCAAAGGAGGTAACAATAAGGTGGTCACCTTCGCGGAGTCGGAGGACGGCACGATCTTCGTTCAGGAGGACGAGGGGCGGGGGGGCAGCCGCAGTCGTGGCTCGTCGCCCAAGCCCCCATGGGTCGTTCCTGACGGCGTCGTCGATCACTTGATGGAGGCCATGAAGAACACCAATGATCCCGAGCTGCGGGCGCTGCTGAAGGTGCGCGTTGAGAAGCTTGCCAACGCCAAGCCCCCGCCGAAGCAGCAGACGGCGGCGGCGGCCTTGCAGCAGGCGGACGCAGCGCATCGGGACGCCAATCACAAACATGACCAGACAGTGAGCAATGTGAAGAGGCTGAGGGAGGCCCTCTCAGTCGCTGTGGAGAAGGAGAGAGCTGCCGCCGTCGTCCTCGCGTCTGCGGAGCTGGCCAGGCGCAAGGCTGTCGAGAGCCTGGCGAGGGCCGAGGGCGTCGCGACCACTGCCGCGGACAAGAAGGACGCAGCCCAGGAGGATCTCCCTTTCGAGGTGCGCTGGGACGAGAAGTTGTTCGAGGACATGGACAACCTTGAGTTCGAAGCCAACGAAAAGGAGGAGTTGAAGCGCATTCATGAGCAGCTGCAGGGCCTCAAGATGACTTTCGCGTCGAAGTCGGAGGAGGTCAAGGAGTGGCTGACGAAGGCGAGCAAGGTGCGCGCCGACATCGACAAGAGGATGGCGATGAAGAGGCGGAGGACCGAGACAGGAGAGGTCGCCTCGGCCGATGCTGCGGCCCCTGCGAGTACCGCGGGAGGCTGCGGGCAGGGCTCAGGGACAGCTGAGGTCGATGCTGACGCGGCGGCTGCTGCAGCCAAGGAGGAGCACGACAGGAAGGTCCATGAGGAGGCGACGAGGATCTCGGCGGCCAAGTTCGAGGCAGCCATGGGCAAGGGCGCCTGCGGCAAGGGCAACGGAGGGGCCGCTGCCTGACGGTCACCGCCTGGCGCTGAGCCCGCGGCGCTAACTACCCAGCGCCAGGCGTCGCGCGGGAACGGGGACGAGGTGCACGATATCGACGATATCAAGACCACCTCGATTTTCTTTAGCAGCGTCACCGCCCTTGGGGAACAGGCGTGGACGTACCTCATGACGCAGTGCTCGAGCTGCGACTACTTGGGTTGCGTGGAGACTCATCAGCCAGAGTCCAAGTTGCGCAAGCTTGATCGGGATGCCCGTGGCAAGGGCTATAGAATGATTGCCAATCCTGCCAGACCCTCTGGCAATCACCGCACGTCGGCTCCTGAGGAGAAGGCCAACGAGGGCGGCGAGATCATCTTCGCGAAGAAGCATCTGCAGGTGGAGAGTTTGGCGGAGGCGAGGCTCAATGCGTTTCGGGCTCCAGGCAGCTCAGCGCTGGACGGCTTCGCGGCGGCCACCATCCACCTGGCGGGCTTCTCCACTGTCTTCATTATCTTTTACGGGGTGACGTCCATCGGCATGCATGGCCGCAACCTGGGCCGCTTCCAGCGCCTGGGGGCCCTGCTGGCGGCGCTGCAGCTCCCATGGCTCGTGGTCGGGGATTGGAACGTCACCCCACAGGTGCTCAGCCAGACGGGCTTCCTGGATCGAGTGCATGGGCGGGTGCTCCAGGCTCCTGTGGACTACACATGTGACGTGGGCGCAGGCACGCTGATCGATTTCACGGTCATGAGCGAGTCTGCCATCCCCTTCGTCGTCGGCTGCCAGGCGGTGCTAGACGTGCCGTGGCGGCTTCACCTGGGTTTGATTATCACGCTCAAAAGCAGTGGCAAGCAGTTGATTACACGCAGATTGGACGCTCCTGGCCGTCTTCCCCAGCTTCGGCGTCCGCAGGCTCTACCTCAGGAGGGTTCCAAGACCTCCAAGGCTAAGAAGGCCACGGCCGTGCGGGCTGCCTTGGCGCAGGAGCGTAGGTCGGATTTCTGTCACACGTTGTTCTCTGAATACCTTTCACAGCCAGGCGATGAGATCAGCACAGCAGCCCCATCAGACGATGAGGATGAAGTCGAGTGCCAATTAGATGACGGATGGCCTGAGGAGGAAGAGGATCCTTGGGGTCACGAGTCGTGTTTCAGTGCACACCCGCACGCATGTCAGAGCCTTGCGGCTGGGCACACTCATCACAGTAGCAGGAGTGAGTCTGAAAACGGGGCCTCTGTCACATCGTCGGCGTCGCACGGTTCTGAGCCCGTCCGTCTCTCTGATCCTGTGAGCAAGCCCTCTTTTGTCCAGGCCAATTCGGGACCTCCCCCCCCTTTCTTCCAGCGATGGTGCGCCGCCCCTGGTCACGGAAGCCGCCTTGGAAGACCCGTCCCTTCAGGGTGAACCCGAGTTCTATATTTCGGAAGACTGTTGGAGCCAGCATCGTAATAGTGTTTGCACTCTGGAGGTGCCCGAGGATGCCATGCCCCCCTCCTACCTCGCCTCCGTTGCATTTAGGCTCAACCCCAAGCCTGTTTCCACAGTCAGTTCATGGTACTCTGCTTGGGCTCGCGGAGTTGAGCGCACGATCTGTGCTCATCACTGTGTGCCGCTGCCAGCTGGGCCCAGCAGGGGCGACGGCTGCAAGTTCGTGGTGGAGGAGGTGCACCAGTCTGCGCGAGGGCGTACGGCGCCGCTGCGGGACCAGGTTGCTTGCTGGTGGAAGCGAGTTGCCACGCTGCTAGCACAGGCTGGGAGGCACCTCGCTCGCGGCAACGGTGAACGTGAGCTTGGGGCCATCCAGAGGGCTTGCAGGCATCTGGTCTACGAGCGGCCTGCAGGGGTACATCTGCTGCTGCGCCCTGGCAGGGACGCGAGTGACCGCAAGTGGGCGACGGTGCTGCTGAATGTGAGGGATATGGTCGTGCCAGTGCTGCAGTCCTTCCAGGAGCAGGCGGCTCGACTGGCTCGACGAGGGCAGCGGAGGGCCGTCCACGAGTCGCTGTCGGACTTCCAGCAGTGGGTCACTCAGCAGTCTGCGGTGGGAGTCCTGCACCGTAGCATGCGGGAGGAACAACTCCCGCCGCTCGAAGTTCTGGAGGGGGACATTGCCGTCGTCCACCCGCGGGACATCATCGACAGCAAGTGCAAGCACTGGCAGAAGAAGTGGGCGCCCCACGTCGTCGACGAGACCAAGTTGGCACGTGCATATGATGATGCACGCGAGGCTGCTCGCGCGGAGCCGCTGGATCCGATCGCAGCAGCTGAGGTGCGCGCAGCAGCACGCAAGATGAAGGCCACCACTGGTCTAGGCGCCGATCGGATGACGCCGATCGAGGTGGAGCGGCTCCCTGATAGTGCAGTGCTGGAGCTTGCAGAGCTGCTCAACCTGATCGAGTGCTCGTTGGCGTGGCCGTTCCAGACACAGCTGATCATTGGCAAGCTTCTGCCGAAGAAGCTGGGCGGCGACCGCGCGATCGGACTGGCGTCGTTTCTAGGAAGGTTGTGGTCCCTCATTCGGGAGGGACATGTTCGTGAGTGGTGTTCGCTTGTTGAGGACGAGTGGGGTGCTGCGATTTGTGGGAATGCCTCCCTCAGGGAGGCTTTCCATCGTACGCTCCAGGAAGAAGTGGCGGGCGTGCTCGGCACGCCCTTCGGGCGCGGCCTCATGGACGTGGAGGGGTTCTACGACGGCATAGAGTGGGACATCCTCGCCCAGGTCTCGTTGAAGCTCGGATTCCCTCCCATCATCATGTATCTGGAGCTGTCTCAGTGCATGGCGCCGAGGGCCCTGGAGCAGCAAGGAGCGGTCAGCCAGCCGTTCCTTTCCGCGTGCAGCATTATACAGGGCCTTCGGTCAGGCACGCGTTTCGCAAAATGTATGACACACTTTGTCATGGCTAAGGTGTGCCAACAGCATTCGCAGATATCCAGTCGTATTTG